GAGCCAAAACGTCCAGAATTGCAATTAGAGAGGCTTCCTGACCATTGAAAAATACCAGAATGTCGTCAGCGAAGCTGAGATGAGTTACCAAAGGATTAACGCATAGGGGATGGGCCTGAATTCTTCCTGAAGTGGTTGCCAAATCTAGTTGCTTGGAGAGAGTATCCATAACAAGAGCGAAGAGAGGAGCAGAAATGGAGTCGCCTTGACGAAGGCCTTTTTTGCCCGGGAAATAACCTATAAGTTCACCATTTAGAGCAACAGAGAAAGAAGGAGTAGTGAAGCACTCTGTTAGCCAATTAATGAACATGGTGGGAAGATCTAAAGCCACCAGAATGTTGGTAAGAAAACCCCAATCAATGTTGTCAAACGCCTTTGATAAATCAATCTGAAGACAGCCTCTAGACACAGGTCCCAGAGTGTAAATCTGCAACAAGTTCTGAAGCCAATAACACATTTTCGCAGAGCAATCTACCCTTGATGAAGGCAACCTGGTTCCTTTGAACAACCAAATCCATAAATAACTTGAGTCTTTTAGCAAGAAGCCTAGAGATGACTTTATATATGGTGTTGCAGCAGGAGATTGGCCGGAATTCACCAAGTCTGTCTGCCGAATCTGTTTTGGGAATCAGAGCCAGAATTGTTGCATTTACCTGCTTGAGAAGCTTGCCAGTTTTGAAGAAATCCACTACTGCCGCAATTAGAGAAGGACCCACAACACTCCAAGAGTTGATGAAGAAGTCAACCGTAAAACCATCAGGACCAGGAGCTTTATTCCTTGGTAAGGAGAAAACTGTGGAGGTTACTTCTTCAGGAGTTGGAATAGAAGTCAGTTGAGTAGCCAAAGTTGCAGTACATCTGAAAGAATTCAGCTCTCTGATTCGCTCCACAGGAAGAGGAAGGACAGAGGTGTTTCTTGTGCCTAGGAGATTTTGATAGTAGTCAACAACAAGCTGCTTTAGAAGGATCTTATCAGTTATCCTCAAATCCGCATCATTTTTAAGATAAGTAATACTATTTCTCACTTGATGAGCCATAACCGATTTGTGAAAGAAGCTTGTGTTGGAATCTCCCTCATCACACCATCTAATCCGAGATTTTTGCATGAGAAAAGATTCCTCCGCAGCTGCGAAGAAAGACCATCTCCTCCGCTGCTCCTTCTCTTCCTCAAACAGAGCTAGAGATGGAGAGGTAAGAAGCTGATTCTGTATGCTTGTCAACATATCATGAGCTTCAGCAGACCGAGCTTGAATATTACTGAAGCTTGTCCTATTAAGAGCTTTGCATCCCAGTTTAACTGCCTTTAGCCTATGACACAAGGAAAACATGGTGGAAGTATGAGCAAGATCCAGGTTCCAGGCCGACTCAACAATACTAGGAAAGTCAGGATGTGTGGTGAAGAAAGAGTAGAATTTGAATGGAACCTTCCTCCTCTCAACAGAATCAGAAGTAGAAATAAGAAGCGGAGAATGATCAGAACCTCCAGGAGCATCAACAAACATAGAAGACTGAGGGAACGCCATAAGCCACGACTCATTTATAAGAGCTCTGTCCAATTTGCGAGTAATTGGATTGGAAGGCTGACCATTATACCAAGTATGCTCAGCACCTCTGGAAGACAAATGTAGAAGCTCACAGGTATCAATACAGGATTGGAATTCATTCATACCTTGAAGAGGAAGACTATAAGGTAATAGAGAGTAATGGTCTTCAGCAATAAGTATTTGATTAAAATCTCCAAGAATTAACCACGGATGATTCCTTTGGAGACTATGATTATGAAGCTCTTCAAGCGCAACCCAAAGATCCCGTCTAGCAATTAAACAGTTGCGGGCATAGACAAAGGTAACAGAGAACGACTCGCAGGTAGAAGGATCAAAAACTCCACAGGAAATGAGTTGATCTGTCTTCTTATAAATAAAAACCTTTACTGCCGAATTCCAGACAAGCCAAATTCTCCCATTGCTTGCTGTAGGTAAGTAATTAAACTCGTGTCTCCAACCAGGGAAAATCCGAGCCAAAATTGCAGCCGCATTATCATGATGTACATGAGTTTCCAAAATAGCACCGATAGAAGGTCTCGAAGATAAAACCCAACTTTTAAGTTCTTGCTGCCTCTGAGTATTATTTAAACCCCGAATATTATAACAAAAGATTTTTATCATCATCAAAAAGGACAAAAGGTTTGAAAGCATAGCTTTCAAGCATGATGATTTGCGCGTCCCTTTCCAGGGATACGACGACTCTGAGAACTCTGGGAGCTTTTCCCAGATTTAGAAGGAGGCTTCTTAGCAACTTTAGCAACTGAAACTTCCTTAGAAGTAGTGATAATCCCAGCTGACGGCTGACTCGTTATGGAGGTTAGAGGTTTATTGGACTGATCTGGAAGGATAGTCGGAGGTCGCTGAGGAGAACTTGATCTTCGACGAATGATCCGCTGACCAATCTGAATAGCCTCTTCCTCTTCAGCGAATTGAGCTGCAGTGACAGAGCTTCCTCCTTGGTTAGGCTCAAGTTCTTTCACCAACGCTTTGTTGACATGAGGTTTTGACTTATTCTTTACAACCTGCCATTCATTGGAAGACTCGTTTGTTGGTGAAGCAAGGTACCGATGATTGGACTTAGAAATATCAGTCTTAGAGGGAACGTTTGGTGTAGGAGTGCCTGAAGCTGCCACAACATGAACAGGTAAGGTCTGCAACACTACCTCTGCATACCGAGGAGGAGGTTGATCTCTGAGTGTGGGTCTTCCCGCATTAACCAGTGGAGCATGAGTAGAAGAGGGAACATCCGGAGCAGATGGACACCTATGGTAAAGGTGACCATATTCATTACAGTAGTCGCATTTTGGGGGTAGACGTGGATATTCAACCCAAACCCTGAGCTCAGTCCCTTCATCATCCATAACCAAGACCGAGTTCGGAAGATCTTTGTTAAGAAGAATCTCAACCTTTATTCTGGTGTCGGGAGCTAGAGGAGGAAGATGATGTTTTTCAGTATGAAGCGGCTCACCAATTCCTGAGGCGATGGTGCTTAATCCTGGAAGAGAATAAAGCTGAGGCGGAACATCTTTGATAACAACCCATATCGGTAAGGAGACCAGCTTAATTGGCGTTAAGGTTGCTGTTGGAGACCAAGCTGTGACTGTGAAGAGGCAATTACCAGCTTGCCAACACCCAACCTCAATGACCCACTGTCGAGTGGCCTCTGATGGAATGAAAATGAGAACAGGTCCATTAGGTAACGCCTTGATGTTGATACGACCAGATGTTCCCCAAATGGGGTTCAAATCTGTGAAAATTTTCCCTGGAGGAGGAGGAGTTCCATGGAAGTGAGCTACGATATGGTCCTTCCAAGTGTCGGTGGCTTTAAGGATGACTGAAGCTGGGGCTCTGACCTTGGGAGTGCCATCTTGCGTAAATGTTGGCCGAGTAACTTTCTTCAAATTCCGGAGCTTTGAATTGAACCTAGCAGCCCAGAGGAGTTGAGTATCGTCTATCACCGGAGGAACTTCGGGTTCGACTTCAAATCACCGACTGTGGCGGGGAGGAAGAGGATATTTGAGCAGGTTGGTCCGATTGAGGAGGAGCAGAACTAATTGGAACAAGTCCGGTGATTTCAGTGAGAGACGGGTCCGTAACGGCTGAAGCTTGGCCAGTCACAGGAACCATGAAATCAGTTTCCTTAATCGGAGCAGAGGAGCAGAGTAAATCGGTTTCTATAACCGGAGCAGAGGAGATCTGATTTTGCGGAGGGGATCTGTGAGAGAGAAGAGTAACTGGATCTACTGGATCAGGAGGATCTGTAGATGGAGGAGTAACGGAGAGGACATCCATTAGAAGAAATGAAGAGGGGGAAGGAAGCAGAAATTTCTCGGCGGCTGCGTGAGGCAACACCGTCGGAGACGGAACTAGGTTAGAATCGCCTAATAATCGCCCTTTTAACTGTAGACGAGAGCGTCCATCTTTTATCCTTCATTACCATTAGATATAAATTATGCCATATTCGAAAACATTTGGCTCATATATAGTGAACCATTATTCATTCACAATGCATATGACTATCATGAACATAAAATGTGTTGACTGCGTATTTATTATAAAGTACATAAGCTGTTGTTTGTTTTCTTACACTATACTAGAATTCAGTAAATTGGTATCAAAATTGTTTTTAACATTAGTCATAAATTTTTGAACTTTTTTTGTAATACTGTGCCTAAGTTCTATGCAAAAGAAGAAATCTAAGGTTACACTAGATTTTACTGAATACAACTTCTATTAATTTTTTATATTTATCGACTAAAATTTTTTCTATTCTTTTTTTCTTTCGTTTAGGCGGTTCACAACTTAAAACCGGCCCGTTAGCCAAATCTTTAACTTGTTTTTCAACATAACTTGATCAAAATTCGGTTTTCCCTCAAACGTCAGCTGTTATATCAAATTAATTTGTATAAATTCAAAACGCTTAGAAGCCTAGACTACAGATGAGAGAAAAAAAAAAGGAAATAGACACGAGAAAAATTTCCATGTGTTTGATAAATATAATTTGCATAAATGTTTAAATTCATATGTAGCCAAGAAAAGCTTAACCCACATTTATTTAAAGCCCTAGTTTGTAAAGAACTCACTAATCTTTGATTATATTAGAATGTTTTTTTTGAAGCTTTCATTTCCATATTTATTTTTTCGTTTTGGTACATAAGTAGAAAAGACAAACCAGCAAAAGAGACAACTTTAAGAGATTTAATACAAGGTCCATGGGCTGAGTTTTTTTAAACCTTTGTGTTTTGCTTTTGGGTTATATCTTGATCTCTTTCCTAAGATCTCAAATGAACTAGGCCCTAAGAACTTACTCGAAAACTTTTTTTGGGCCTTCATATACAACAATGATCTGGACACAAATAAAACGCTTCAAATTTCTTACACCACTTAATACTTTTAATATCTAGGTGTTACATGTTATATGAAAATGAAATATATATTCAAATTATGGGTGTGAGTGATTTTGTACACTATTTCTTACAGATATGCAAAACCAACAAAATTTGTGAAAATTCTAACAAAAACTAATTATTTTGTGTGGAAGAGTTCCCATGTTGCTGTCATGTGTCTGCGGTGGATCCATTTTCTTCTTTACAGCCAAAACAAACAAACCAACAAAACAATTTCATCATAAAATCTTAAGATAATTTGATCAAACACACATAGAAAACCACAATTTGACCAATAATGGAGATTTTGTCTCGAAGGACACGTTTCATCACACATGCTTCATAGAGCTATTTTTCATTTACACCATTTTGATTTATGACAGCATTTCAATATATATAGTACATTTCTTTTTTGAATAACCACAAAAATTCCAAGCCTACAATACATATATAATTTTTCGTTAAAAAAGATAAAAATAAAAAGGAAGCCACTCACTGATCTACAAACAGTTAATCAACTTTTCCCAAACGTGGTCTCGAAATTTATAAGAATAAATTTTACTTTTTTTTTTTTTATAACGAATGTCTTCATTACGGAAACCATTTCCTGTTTTTACATTTTATTACTTATCTTATCCTTCATTTCCCTTCAATCTCCTTGCCCATGAAGAGAAAATGAGTGTAATGAGAGTAGCGTCCAACGTAACTTAATATATTTTAAATGTAAACATAGTTTTAGTATGTCAACAATCACCGAAACATGCATGTAGCTAAGAAGATCATGGGAGAAATAAATTCTTAAAGATAAAAATATAATAATCAAGAACAGAATTAGATAAATAAATATGTTATGTTGATAAAAAACAATAAAAATAATCAAACACCCTTTGCTCGAGGCAAAAAAAACAAAACCTCAACACAAAAACGGAAACTATAATCCAATCCAAAATATACAATTAAATTCAAAAAATTACTTCTTTTTATGAGACCTACTCTTGTTTTCAATCTTTTTCTTCTCTTTTTTCCTAGATATATGATTACCACTATTCTTATCATCAATATGGTGAAGATAAGCATCATTACTCGTATTATTACTTTCACCTTTCCCATTCCTTACAGCGAGACCTTCTCTCCGTTTACCTCTATCGTTCGTTTGGGGATACTGTTGATAACCTGGCCCGGAAGAAGCATCGGAAGCCATGGAATCGTCGCTGTCTTTGTTATTTTCGTATTCATTTGCGAATTTTCTACGATCTTTTTCGATGCTATGCCCTTCATAGTAGACCTCATCAATTACCTCTTCCTCTTCTTCCTCCAGAGGTGAAGAAATATACGTGGTCCATCCCGATTCGCTGCTGTTGCATTCTTCTCTCTCCATGGACGACTCAAGAACCCTAATCTTGAATAAAGGAGGGAGGGAGGGAGGGAGGGAGGGAGAGAGAGAGAGAGAGAGAGAGAGAGAGATGTTTGTTTTAGTTGTAGTGTTTTACTTGTATAGTTGTAGTGTATATATAAGTGGACCATAAATAATATGTAATTGCATGTGCGTGGAAGAAGACCCGTGTGTTTCCATTAGTTAAATGTGCTAAGGACAGCTTATGTCTAACGTATAAAGTTATTTCCGACATAATTCGAAGAAGAATAGCTGTTTTTTATGAAAAAGGGTTTGTCTTTTATAAGTTATGATTTATGTGTAGTCTTAGTCTTCGCAATAGTGTGAGCATGTTGAAAAATAAATACTAATTAATATAATTAATGTGTTCCGGTTAGAGAAAGTGAAGTGGTTTACGTTCACATTGTGGCATGAGGGGAATGTATCTTTACACACAGAATTCTCTGTAATGAAACCAAACACGCATGCATCTTTATGGAGATTGGATGTTTCATTCAAATCAAATTAAACCATGTTGTAGAACATGTTATGATCATGCATATCCTCTCTTATTTTTCTCTTCTTACTCTCATCAGATTCGTATAACCAATTATCGATAAGTTTGAAATTAATAAACTATCTTATGTTATATATTCATATATAGACTCAAAACCGTTTTAGTGGAACAAAGGGTGCAATTAAAAGTTTTTTTTTCTTTTTCTTACTTATAAATTATTAAAACAAGTATAGATCTAAGAACAATTAAATAGCTTGTAAAATATATAATTTATTTTTTGATCTTATAGATCTCAGAGGTATTCCCGATTTCCAGATTTGGGTTAGCACTTGTAGAGTTTTTCACTGATATAAGAATGTGAGCTGACGTACTGGCTGATGCACTAGTTGACAGACTGTTTGATGGATTTCTTGATGGACTGCCTGCCAGATTTCCTGATGAAATAACTTAAGTACTTTTTGTATCAGACCAGCTTGTGCCCATTAAGGAAAGCTATAATTTCCTTCCCTTTTGAGCATCCCAGAGCCATATGTGGAAGTCTTGACATCTCCTACACTACATAGAACTGCACAAACTCAAGCCTTGGTGCACCCTACCTCATGTGAACCTGTAGAGCCAAGACTTTCCTTTTCGGGAGCCGAAAGAGATCAAATCACAACGGCTCTATTCCGATCAGCTCTTGCGCATCCAGAAGCTTCTTACAATGAATATGGATGTCCCAAAACAGCATCATTACTCGTCCAAGTTATCAAGACTCAAGGCATATCACACTTTCCATTTTTGAGCCAGGTTTCACGAATAAATATCCAACGGCTCTATTCTCATTTAATTTTGCGATTTGTTTCCTACCTTATAGCTTTATGACCGCTTGTATGAGCCTCTATATAAGCTTACATTAGTTTTCATTTGTATCAAAGTCTTCTTCGAAATTAAGTAATAAACGTTAAGTTTTCATTTAGAGGGTGTGTGGAAGTCGAAACTAACACAATCAAGATTTGTCTAGGGTTTTATTTTAGGGATACGATAATCGTGAATTCTCAAAGAACAACAGAAACGATTGATACCAAAGATGGCGTTCTTGATATTATTAATGAAAAGACGATTTTGATCGTACAAGAGTTTGATCGTAAAAGAAAAAAGTGTTTGTGCTGTGAGAGCTTTGCGTAGTGTAATTTCTAGAGCGATATTGCTTGCCCCATCGTTCTAGCCTTGAATCTCTTTATATAGGGAAGACAAACCGCCTCTCCAGCGATATTCTCGGAAGATTTCCATTTATCTTGAAGTCGGCTAGAATATCGCGGATTAGGATAATTTCCTTATTCTTCGGAGTTTTCGGAAGATTTCCTGATTTGAGTTGATCCTTCGCGATTCTTCCTTATCATTTCCGAGATTATCGGAAATGATCCTTCTTTTTCGGAAATGACAATGTGCTTAGAAATGATACCTTTAAAGAAGAATATTTACTAAGTCTTTGCTTCGGGCGATGATGAAGACTTCGCCTCAGGGAACTTGTAAGACCGGCTCGGGTACACATGAAGGACTGGCTCGGGCATTCTAGGGTGGCTTCTTCGGGTGTCCCCGAGGCGATGGGCTCGGAAACTCCCGAGGCGACCAGGCTCGGGTACCCCCGAGGCAATTGGGCTCGGGTGCTTCTGATGTCTGCTTCAGGATATCCCCGAGGCGATGGGCTCGGGTACCCCCGAGGCAATTGGGCTCGGGTGCCCCCGAGGCGGTAGAGCTCGGGTGCCTTCGTAGTCTTGTTAATGTATCCCCGAGGCGATGGGCTCGGGTATACTAAATCGTTTAGACAGATATCCCGAGGTGAATGATGCGATGCCCCGAGATGATCTCTGAAAGACTCCCAAAGTGTTCTAAGTCTGGCTCGGCGCCAAAGGGTGAAACCGACCCCAACATGGTGCGTCTTTGATGTTCTTGTCATTTTAATTCTTTTGGTGAGATTCCTTAATTCTTGTGTGATTTGCGGATCCATAACTTGTGTGATTCGAGTTGTTTATTTTGTGTGTTGTTGTGGATTCAACGACAAAACCCCATTTCCATCTCTACCAACATCCATCGTATCATTCAAGCCGTAAGCCTTGAACATGAGAAGTATAAATCTAAGGTGTGATTTCAAGGGTTTGTATCATTTGGTATCAGAGCTAAAAGCTCCTATTTATCCAGGTGAATTCGTTCCCTTTATCTTTTACTTTTATGTTTTGCAATTCAGTTTTATAAATTTGAAAAACAAAATAAAAAGCTGTTTTGTTTTGATTTCTTGTTGTTATTTGTCTCCGCATTCGTAAACCATAAAACAAAATAAAAATTAATTTTTTTTTATGTGTTCTTAAATTTAATATTTTAAAATCATAAAAGAAAAATTAAAAATTGGTTCCCCAGTTTGTTCTTTGCAATATTCAAATTTGTTTTAATAAAAAAAATACAAATTTTCCATATTTCTTTGTTTGCCTTTTAATTTTCTTTCCATATCTTTTTGATCGAGGAGCCAAAGAGAAGATGTCGAACCAGCCATGAGCACCTACGAGTCTGGTTATGTTGAGCGATGGGACGATGAATGGTTATTGAAGCTCAGATTTTGAAGATGAACCAAATGGAGTAGAGCTCGAACCGGAACCACCAGACCACGACATCACCCTGAACAACTATCATAAACCAATTGAGTATTGGTTCGAAGCGGGTACACCAAACGAACGAGATTCATGTCCTTAACATAATTATCCCTACTTGGGATATGATGAGTCAGCGAATGAGGGATATCACCACAACTATCCTCCACGTCGAGAGGAGAAGCTCTGATACCAGATGATATAGGAACGAGCGTGGTGATTGATGGAGAAGCTGTTGCTGGACTAAGGTCCCTCTCAACAGATTCGAATGGAAGGGAAGATGAAGATAGAAGTGAATAGATGGTGAAACTGTCGCTGGACTAAGGTCACTCTCAACAGATTCGATAGAGATGGAGATGGATAGTTGGATGGATCGAAGTTTGCCACACAAAGTTGCGGAATGACTTTGTGATAAGAACAGATATCAATATTTAAATGAATCGCACACAAAGATAAATATTTCACTTGTTTTCTAAAGGAATCACACACAATAGAAAAAAGCAAGTAAAACAAAAGCCTAAACTTTTAAAAGTGAGAAACTCTCTTTTTATTTTTTTTCCAATAATCTATATTTTTACAATGAAGGGAAACATGAGCTTATATAGGCTCAATTTACAAATCAATAACATAAGTACAAAATAAATCAAATTAATTACATGAATCAATCAAGAATAAATTTGAGAGATTTTATGCAATCATCATTGATGGAGATTGGTTCTTTGTATCTAGACACTTTCTTGATATAGCCATGAATTGATTTTCTTCTAGAAACTTCTTTATAATTTGATCTTGATTTTCCTTGAACCAATCCTTGATGAGTCATGGATATTTCTAGGACTACATCACTCTCTCCTTCTTGAAAAGGTTTTGTCCTCAAAACTAAAACCAAAGTGTGCATTTTTTTTTTTCTCATATTGAAGAAAACAAAATCGAAATTAAAATAAAAGAATTTTTTTTAAAAAATTTCAAATAAAACTGAAATTCAACAAATAAAAACAAAGTTTTTTTTTTTGTATATATATATTTTTAAAACGAACTAAATAAAACAGAAAACGATTTTTTTTTTTTTTTTTTTTTTTTCAAATTAACCCTGAGGATGAACAATGGCGTGAGGAAGAGAAAAGCAGTTATGAAGGCTATGAAGAAGATTCATGTGGTGACGAGGCTGAATCTCAGTTCAGTCTAGACAAAGAACCTTGGCGTGAGACAGAGCCAAACAACCATGAAAAGGAGTCATGGCATGAGGAGGTTGAATTTCAGTTTACTCAAGAGGAAGAACGTGAAGAAGAATTCAATCAGGAGGAAACAACATTCATGGGACTGAACCATGACAACAAATCATGGTGTGACGAGACTGATTCACAATTCAGTCTACGAGGTGTTGAGCAATGTGGTGAAGAAGAAGATCATGAATCAGGAAGTGATGTTGGGATTAGAAACACCGGACCAGATTTCATATGGGTACCCCAGAGAAGAGACACCCTATTCCCATGGAGTTGGACCAGGCCTAATTCACACAAAGTCATCCTTTACCAAGCCATGGAACCACGGTAATAAACGTGAACGTTTTGATTCACAACTCCTAACTTTCTCAGGTAATAAACAAGGACCTGAAGCTTACCTATTGTGGGAAAAGAACATGGAGCAATGGCTACGATTCCAGAACATCCCGAAAGAGAAGAAACTTCATTACGCTTTAAAGAGACTTGTGGGAGAAGCTCATTCATGGTGGTTACAAGAAGAAGCTCAGGCCTACTATCTTAAACCAATCACCACTTGGGGTAATCTCAAGCAGCGTATGTTCAGGGAGTTTGTACAAAAATCTTACAACAAAAGCTACATTCCCAAGAGGCTTATGTTCGAAACAACGACAAATAGTTGGATGTCCAAAGCAATTCCAAAGACTCCGCCTAAGGAAGCTTCGAGC